CATTATCGATACTTGCGTTTTTAAGGCTGACGAAGGAATGCTTGGTGCGTCCATTATTGCAGTAACTGTTTGGTGCCTTTCCTCTCTGGAAACCAAGGTTAAAGAGTAGTCGCCCTCTTTTAAGGAATTGGTGAAATGTCTTTCATAACTAACCGATTGATCGGCTGTTGATCTTTCTTGCAACACGCTAGCATATAAAGAACTAGATGAGATTAAAAATCTTTGTGACGATTCCATTGTCGGTGTAGAACTTAACAGGGAAGATGTTGGAGTAGTGAAAAACGTATAATCCTCTTTATTAAAGATTGACGACGTGAAGATACTTGGAATAGGCAATGAGTTGACTTTGCTAGCCGAGGGTTTCGTTGGCAGTTTTGAGGTCTGCACTGTTGATACTGACAATACAATGTATTGTTCTGTCAACGAACTCGTGAAAGAACCCACAAGGCTTGGGGAGAGCTTGTCTTTCTTATCTGACCTTGACAACAAACCTGTTGACAAAGATTCCATGTGACTTGTCGTGGCGTCAACTTTCAATACTGAACTAAATTGTGGAGCTGTGGATGATAGTATGGGTTGCCTTGACGATAAACGTCTCAGTGAGTCTTTAAGCCCTGAGGTGTATTCTGCCTCTATTGAGGGGTTCAACTGCGAAGAACGCGATGATAGTATTTTCTTCCTCGAAGAATCCATGTTTGCTGTGGCGGCGTCTGTTATCAGTGGTGGACTTAGCTGCGGAGACGACGCAAGTATATGTTGCCTCGACAAGGAACTTGTTAGTGATTCAACTGAGGTTGTCATGGCTTCAACTTTCAGCGTTGAGCTTAACCTTGGTGACATTGAGAGTACGATGTAATGCCCTGACGGTGAACTTGTAACGGAATGCATAAGGGTTGTCGAGGCTTCTTCTTTAACTGCCGAACTTGGCTGTGGAGATATTTGCCTCGGTGACGAACTTATTAAAGAATCCAAAACGTTTATTGAAGATTCTACTTTCAGTCCAAACGTTGATGATAACGAGCGTTGCCTCGAAGACAGAGCTCTTGAAGAATTCAAAAGACGATTTGGGGCTTCTACTTTCACTAAAGAGCTTAAATGTGGAGAAAATGAAGATATCACGTGTTGCCTTGACGACGAACTTGTTGAGATAACCTTTAAACTTTTCGTGGATGCCACTTCGAACATTTGGTGATGATGTAATGATGCGCTTGTTAAAGGATCCTCCTGAATCCTGGTCGTGACTTCTGAGTTTAACTGTAAAGTTGATGATGATGGAGTTTCATGTTTTAACGAGGAAGTTGGAAATAGATCCAAAACACTCGTCTTTATTTCCACTTTTGGTGTTGAACTTGGCAGTAGAGAGGGCGATGATTTTGACAAGGAAGTTCTAAATGATTCCATGAGACTTGTCGTGATTTCTACTTTCGGTAACGATTTAGCTTGTGGAGACACTAAAGATGGCATTTCTTGCTTTGACAATGAGACCGTTAATGAACCAATAATCGCTGTCGTGAATTCTGTTGTAGGTAATGGGTGATGATGCGATGACGAGCTTGTTATAGAATCCTCCAGAATCATTGTCGTGGCGCCTGAGCTTAACTGTTGTGGTGGTAGCGATGTCGTTCTATGCTTAAACGAGGAAATGGAAAACAAATCCATAACACTTGTCTTTATTTCTACTTTCGGTGCTGAACTTGACAGTGGAGAGGGCGATGACTTTGACAAGGAAGTCCTGAATGATTCCAAGAGGCTTGTTATGAATTCTACTTTCGGTGCTGATGTAGCCTGTGGAGACGACAAAGATGGTATTTTTTCCATGGAAGATAAGGTTGTTAATGCAGCCATAATGGTGGTCGAGAGTTCTACATGTACTGTAGGTACCGAGTTAAGCAGTGGAGACGGCAATAATGGCATTTCATGCTTTGACGAAGCTATTATTGAATCCAAAAGGCTTGTTGTGACTTCGAGTTTAGGTGTGGAGCTTGCCTTTGGAGACAGCAGTGATTGCATTTCATGCTTTAATAAAGAAGGTCTCATTGAATCTGTTAGGCTTGTTGTGACTTCGAGTTTAAGTGTTGCGCTTGCTTTTGGAGGCAGCAGTGGTTGCTTTTCGTGCTTTGATATAGAGGTCCTCATTGAATCCGTAAGGTTTCTTGTGACTTCGAGTTTAGATGTTGAGCTCAAGTGTGAAGACCCCAACGATTGCCTTTCCTGCTTTGACGAGGAAGTTCTTGATGAATTCATAAAGCCTATCGTGTCTACTACCTTAGATGTGGAGTTTGCCTTTGGAGGCTGCAATGATTGCATTTCATGCTTTGATAAAGAAGTTTTCACTGAATCCCTAAGGCTTTTCGTAATTTCGCAGTTAGGTGTTGAGCTAAACTGCGAAGAAGGCGAAGATGGTATTTCTAACTTTGACGAGGATGTTGCAAATGAACTCATAACACCTGTCTTTGGCTCTTCCTTTGGTGTTAAGCTAGCTTGTGGAGCCGACAAAGATGGCATGTCATGCTTTGAGGAAGTGGTTGTTGCTGGACCCATAATGCTTCCCGTGATTTGTATCTTGGATGCAGCACTAAACTCTGTAGAAGACAAAGATGCCATTTCTTGCTTTGACGGAGAAGGTCGTAATGAATCCATAAAACTTCTAGTGATTTCATTTTTAGGTGCCGAG